CCCCAAAACCCCAAAACCCCACAAGAAATATCTGTAGATTTTCAAATAATTTTCTGAGTGAAGATCTATTAAATGATGAAATTAACGAGTGTGTTAACTTTAAAGGAACTTTTTAATCATCTCTGGATATTAATTCAATTTATCTTGTAGAATTCATTTATTGTCTAATTAGTTAGTAGCTTTGAAAGTTATGCTCTTTAAATGCTTAAGATAACAGAAAGTTCTTCAGCTACAAGTTCAATGCCTTATTTAGCCTCTTCATCAAGAATCTTAATAAATGCCCCTCCCTAATGAGCATTTTCCTCAGCTTCTTTTTTGAGAATCACTTTTCCAATCTTAATATAATAAAGAATATCATTTGACTCTTCATTCTAGAGGGTGTAATGAATCAGATGAATAACTTACAATTTTTAAAGCATCTTCGGGATAGAGAATACATTCTCTAAATGCTGTCATCATAGTTGATTTGTTATAACCGTGAGTCTAGTTTAGGATCTTAATTTCAATTTCCTTCATTATTTCGATATCACTGTTATCTGATTTCATTTATGCTTCATAAACATCATATTGCTCTAAGATCATATCCTTGAATAAGTGTCCTAGCTTAAATATGGAACAATCAGAAAGAGCTGTGAGAGTGTCATTTGAACTAACATTGAAACAGAATGGCATGCTACCGAAAACATGATACTACTTTAAAACACGCTCATCCTGGGTCTTCAGTTATCCGCTTTCAATTAGATAAATAGCTTGATCCTAGCCCTCAAGAATCTGAATCTAGTCTCCTTCTGTATGCTTGATTTGTTCAAATAGATTCTAGAAAGGTCTCAAGTTTTGAATAATATGAATGATCAAGGGTTGTTGAGTATTTTACTAAACTCTAAAATATTTATAGTCAAAGAATATATTAACCATACATCCTATTGAAAAGCATGTCCAATGAGGCAGTCATTTTACTTTGAGATTTTCTTCTTTCCAAATGCATCATGTGAGGTTCTAGATGAATTTTAGCCTTAGTTGGTGTTAGTTATACCCTTGTTGAAGCCTAAAATGATAGCCTCGGCAATGCAGATAAATCCCCGATTTTTTCTTCTTCTAAATCATCTTTATCATCATACTTGTCATTTTCTTCTTGCCTTTTTAAATGCTTTTACTTCTTATCCTTTTAATATTGATTAAAGGGAATTAAATTTAATACAAGTTCTTCGTTCAAGTCAGATACCTCTTTCCTTAGAGTAATTAAGTCTTATAGTTTGAGTTGATTTTGCAAGTCACTTCTTTGTAAATCATAATGCATCAAAATCCATTCTCTCATATAATTCAACTAATACGATATAAATGAAATGCTTTATAATATTACTGGAATTGATGGTCTAGTTGCTACAACATTCGTCACCAGAGGGGATAAGATCTTGTTCACTTTTTCTGATAGATAGTTTTTATTCTCTTTAATCTTTTCATCTCTTCTTTATTAAAGTTTTTCTCTCTCTTACTGGTCCATTATTTATTAAATTTCAAAAAATATTTATATAATCTAATATTAAAATAATTTATTGATAATCAAATTATATTTTTGCCTCGAGGGGTTTTGGGGTTTTGGGG